GTATACTATTAGATATATGTTTGCTTGTTATTATAATTATTATCTTTTTAATTACCTTTTATATACTTCTTATTTTATTTGTTTTTCTTTTTTGTCTTGTTTTTTTAAATATTTTTTAGTATCTCTTTTATTTCTAATCATTTTTATAACTTTTGTATCTAATTTTTTTAATTTTCAAATTTTGCTTAATTATATAAATATTGTAATAGAATTTTATTTTTTTATTATATATTTATTTTTAGCTTTATATTATATTTTACATTTTTTTAGTATTTTTAAAATAATTTATAAATTATTTTATTAGTTTTAATTATTTATTTAATAGATTAATATTTATTTTATTAGTATATTTCTTATAAAAATTTATTTTAACTAATAATTAGTAAGATATTTAAATTAATCTTTATTTAATATTAAAAGAATCTTGATTAAAAAATTTAGATTATAATCTAGATGCTATTAAATTAAAGGATTTTTATTTTAATATCAATAAAGGGGTATGCTGACCTAGTGAAGTGAATAGATTGTCAACCCTCAAGTGGCAGGTCTAAGGTTCAATTCCCATAGACAATGAATTTTGGAAATTATACCTATGTTATGGTAACTGTCTCTTGTTAATCAGTTGAGTTTTGGGCATCTGTAATCTTAGATACATCAAGTCAGATTTTATCTAACATTGAAAGCTTGGGGCATCTATGTAAAGTGTAACTTATACAGTATATATATATAGAGAAATGTTAAAAACCAATGTCATATAAGGCTTCAGTAAAAATCCACAATAAGACCACTGGGTGTAGAAGGCTAAAAAACCGAAGAGACAAAACTCACTTGGAAATTCTGAGTAAAAAAGTAGCACAAACTTTTGATGATGCCATTGGACTGATGAAAGCCCATAAAACATCTTCATAGGAACTGTCAGATAAACTAAATGACAAAGATGTATAGAGGAGCATATGACCAACCAGGCTGCCAGAATCACCAGAAAAAAAGAATACATAAGTATACCATACCAGGTCATCTGGATTGGGAGTCTGGGAGTTAGTTAGTTCTGAGTTGCAGCTAGTAGAGGATGATGGAGAAGAAGTCAGAAAGATTAATACCAGGGTTTGGATGAACTTTACAAAGGTAATAGCAGTTTAAGAGGTAACCCTGACTGCAAGTGTTGGTCTCAGCCATAACATCAAACCAGATTAGTGGTAAAAGGCAATACATTCGCTCTGGTAGGTTTACCTCAAGGATAAAAATAGTCTAAGGATTATAATCTTATAGTCGAATGTGAATAGATCTGAGTCTGTGACCTGGTGAAATTAATACTAGGGTTAGATCAGAGGCTTTAAATAGAACATCTAAACAGGGGTGTTAGGTACAGCAACTGGTGGGAAACCCTTAGGCAAACTCCTTAAATAGGTAATATAGAAAAGTTACATATGTAGCCAGTTGTACACTCATCTAATAGTTCATTATAGATATGTCTATATAAAATATGTACCCACTATAAGTATTAATAAAAAGCTCGAACCAAAGAGGTCACCTTAATATCAAAAAAAAAATTTTAATATTAATAACAGAAACTGTTCAACTATAGTATAAAGATTATAACTTAACAGATTCAAACAGTTTATAATAAAATTTAATAAGATAAATAGTAATTTATATTTTAAATTAGAGATAACAATTAATATTATATAAAACTATTAAGAATTATATTTATTTATTATTTATTAAAATTTATAAAAAAATTTCTAAAATGTATAAAAATACTTATAAATATATAAAAACACTTAATTTTTTTGAAATCAAAAAAATAATGTTTTTATAGATATTTTAGATATATAAATTATTATAATAAAGATTATTTTATTACTAATAAATACTATATATGATAGTATTAATATATATAAGAATTAAAAAATATAATAGATATAATAGATATAAAAGATATTGTAGATATTATAAAAATAATAAAAATAATAGAATTATAAAAATAATAGATATAATAAAAATAATAAATATAATAGAAATAATAGATTTTTAATATAATAATAAAAAACTAATTAGAATCAAATTATATGTTTAATAAAATTATTTAGAATCATCTCAGTAAGTTGAATCTAATGGTAATTATTGCATTCAATTTGATCTGATGAATTAAAAGTATGATCAAAAATATGTAAATCACTTAATGTCTACATTCTTTCTTACTTAATTTTGAACTTTATAAAATTAAAATAGAACATAATAGTCAGAACTTAAGAGACTAAAAATCATGAAGAACATAATAATATTGATCTTAAAAATTTATTTAACTCCTAGTTCATGAATGATATTATAGATTCTAATTGAAACTCTATAATAATAAATAGAAATTTTTCTTTTACTAAGATTATTGCTTGTTTTTATAATAAATTCTGCTATAGAACTTATGAGCTATAATTTAGGTAAAATATTATTAGTATGTATTGGAATTATTATCATTATAAATTATTTATAAACTTACTCGCTATAGTGACACAATATGTGATTTAGATAACTGATAGTGTTAATTTGTTATTTTACTTTAATAAATTTTGCTATAGAACTTACAAGCTATAGTGATACAGTGTGATTTAGATGACGTACTGTAGTTTGTATTAGAATTATGCCACACCATTTTGATTTTCTGTTTAACATAGAATAGCTCATAAAAGAGGAGGGTATAAAACAAGACGATAATTTTATTGGCTCTACAAATGTAAAAATATAAAAAGCTAATACTGCAATTTGATTGATTAATATAACTTTTTTCATATAAATTTTTAAAAAATAGAGAGGGTTATGTTAAACAAATAATCAAATTGGCTTGGCCTTATTATTATTTCTGATTTGACTAGAATAAATTCTACTATAGAACTTACTCTCTATAGTAACACCCAGTATGTGTTGTTATTTACTTTTAATAAATTTAAGCTTTGTAAGGCATTAAATCTATAAATCATGTTATCGATTTCATATGAACACAGTAAAACAATTTGGACAGCAAATTTCGCTAAAATTTGTTGAAATCTGCTGTCCGAATTTGGCGTACAAAATCGATATACTTACAACTTTTTAACTAATTCATGTACATCTGTTGCCCATTCATTACCAGACCTAATTTTTAATAATTTCTCTAAGTCAGCAATTGATTTTTCATATTTTTTCATTATATAATTAATTTCTCCTCTATATCTTAGTGCCATTTCATTATCTAATTCAATTTCCAGCAATCTAGAGAAATCTTCAAATGCTTTATCATATTTGCCCATAATAAAATATAATTTGCCTCGATAGCTTAATTCAAATAAATTATTTTTTTTTCTAATTATTTGGTTAATTCATCTGTTAAGCTAACAAGCATATTTTCATATCCATCCATGATAAAATAAACTTTTTCTTGGTATTCCAATGCTAATGTATTATTTTATTTGTTGTTAATATCTTCATTAGCCATTGCTATTAATTAAAAAATATAATATTGACGAGGTAAATTCTAAATAATTAATCGATTAAACCATTTTACCAGAATATTTAAATTTTTCATGACCAAAGTTCACTTCTATCGACCCGCCTTGCGATCTAAATCCAACACAAGGATATAGATAAATTTTCAAACCATCAGGTAGATAGCATGCAATTCCTTAAAATATGTTATAATCATTAAATTCTTTGCCTATTTGCTTTAAAAAAATAATAAAAATTTAAATTGCTAAAAATGATAATTACCTAAATTGACACCATTTTTAGTATAAAATACTGTCTTATTTATAAAATTTAAATAACATCCAACTGTATCACCAGTAGTATATGATGGTCCATATAACTCGACGCTTCCAGAATAAAAAGAATATCTATCGTCACCATGGCAACCACATCCCCACGATTCATTTTCCTCATATTCCCGTTCTAAGGGATTTTATAACATAGGTGTTAATCTAAAATGATGAGAAAAAAAAAACTGCCACTACCAGGCATGAGCATGTCGTTTATAAAATCTGATTCCATAAAGGAATCGTCTGTTTTATTATTGCTTTGTTTTGTGCAAGATCCGACTCCAATCATTCTATTAAGAAATAGAATTAAAATTTCAAGAACAAAGGAGATATTTATGAACGCAAAAATGATTATTAATTTTACCCATTTTTTCCTTTATCTATAATTTTAGTTTCAAAGTAAAATATCCCACACTTTGAAGGGATTGGATGATTTGCTCGAATTATAGTAGCTTTATAATCATCGGAATCTTAAAAAGTTTTTTTTTAATATATAATTCTAGATTAATTAAACTACCAACAAGTAACATTCACTAAATTGAGATGTTAGCTTAATTTAATTTATAATTTTCATCTTACTTGTGCAATCCACTTTAAGTCCATTTGAATTTATGTTAATAAATGGTGGTTTATTTCAATATCCCATGAAGATGCCATTTCTAAATCGTTCGTTAGGGTTAAAAATCACTTTAGTCTAGATGATTAGTAAAACCATCGTTATCGTAATACAAAAGAAATTTATGGAATTATTTATCTGTATGTGTGCATGCATGTACTACATACGTACCTAAGTACGGCTACACCCGGAAACTACCTCTCATAAGTCTGGTATAGCAATTTTATTTTAGCAACGGATAGGTTAAGCGATTAATAGCTAATGCCGATTTATGCTTAGTAAAATATAAAGTTTATTGCAGTTGCGCGTTTAAGAGGATTAAGGTGATTTGCAGTTACGAAAGAGGCAAACGGCTAAATGTATATGAAGATACAAGTATTAAGACGCTACAACTTATTTACTAACTATTCCCGGTATCCGTGTATGAAGACACGATTACACTCTAGGAATTGTCAATTGTATTGTTTATTTAATAAAGCGTTCGAGTTGTTCGTGCATGAAGACACGATTACTTCTTTATTAGTTTGTTAACTCTATTATGCGATTTTTAAAGCTATTTATGCATTTTACAACATTATGATCCTTTGTTATTACATATGTTAGCAATGCTTAGTTATTTATTATCTAACATTCCTACTATTTCTATCAATGTTTATATCTTTAAGTAGAATTAGTAGTTATTATAAAAACTAATATTACGACTTGAACTATTATTTCTACTAGAATTAACTAGAACCATTTTGACACTATGTTATAACAGCATAGTTAAAAATCCTCTGATTGGCTAAATAGCAATAAATAGAAACAATATAAAAAATTATCCAATCCGATTTTGGATCTGTGAAACTCAGATCGAAATTGTATTATAATATTGTTTCTAATTGATTGTCATTTAGCCAATCATAGGATTTTTAACCATTCTGCTTATTACAGTATTAACGTTATATACGGATTATGCCGAAATCGCAAACTCAGTCGAATTGGCCAGAAAATCAAAAGGTGATGTTACACGATTGATTTTACACACGGTGTGAAACACATAAAAAAATCATTTTACAATACCTGAACAATCTTGATCAGTCCGCTAGTAGATGTTATGATTATAATCATAACATCTACTAGCGGACTGATCAAGATTGTTCAGGTATTGTAAAATGATTTTTTTATGTGTTTCACACCGTGTGTAAAATCAATCGTGTAACATCACCTTTTGATTTTCTGGCCAATTCGACTGAGTTTGCGATTTCGGCATAATCCGTATATAACGTTAATACTGTAATAAGCAGAATGGTTAAAAATCCTATGATTGGCTAAATGACAATCAATTAGAAACAATATTATAATACAATTTCGATCTGAGTTTCACAGATCCAAAATCGGATTGGATAATTTTTTATATTGTTTCTATTTATTGCTATTTAGCCAATCAGAGGATTTTTAACTATGCTGTTATAACATAGTGTCAAAATGGTTCTAGTTAATTCTAGTAGAAATAATAGTTCAAGTCGTAATATTAGTTTTTATAATAACTACTAATTCTACTTAAAGATATAAACATTGATAGAAATAGTAGGAATGTTAGATAATAAATAACTAAGCATTGCTAACATATGTAATAACAAAGGATCATAATGTTGTAAAATGCATAAATAGCTTTAAAAATCGCATAATAGAGTTAACAAACTAATAAAGAAGTAATCGTGTCTTCATGCACGAACAACTCGAACGCTTTATTAAATAAACAATACAATTGACAATTCCTAGAGTGTAATCGTGTCTTCATACACGGATACCGGGAATAGTTAGTAAATAAGTTGTAGCGTCTTAATACTTGTATCTTCATATACATTTAGCCGTTTGCCTCTTTCGTAACTGCAAATCACCTTAATCCTCTTAAACGCGCAACTGCAATAAACTTTATATTTTACTAAGCATAAATCGGCATTAGCTATTAATCGCTTAACCTATCCGTTGCTAAAATAAAATTGCTATACCAGACTTATGAGAGGTAGTTTCCGGGTGTAGCCGTACTTAGGTACGTATGTAGTACATGCATGCACACATACAGATAAATAATTCCATAAATTTCTTTTGTATTACGATAACGATGGTTTTACTAATCATCTAGACTAAAGTGATTTTTAACCCTAACGAACGATTTAGAAATGGCATCTTCATGGGATATTGAAATAAACCACCATTTATTAACATAAATTCAAATGGACTTAAAGTGGATTGCACAAGTAAGATGAAAATTATAAATTAAATTAAGCTAACATCTCAATTTAGTGAATGTTACTTGTTGGTAGTTTAATTAATCTAGAATTATATATTAAAAAAAAACTTTTTAAGATTCCGATGATTATAAAGCTACTATAATTCGAGCAAATCATCCAATCCCTTCAAAGTGTGGGATATTTTACTTTGAAACTAAAATTATAGATAAAGGAAAAAATGGGTAAAATTAATAATCATTTTTGCGTTCATAAATATCTCCTTTGTTCTTGAAATTTTAATTCTATTTCTTAATAGAATGATTGGAGTCGGATCTTGCACAAAACAAAGCAATAATAAAACAGACGATTCCTTTATGGAATCAGATTTTATAAACGACATGCTCATGCCTGGTAGTGGCAGTTTTTTTTTTCTCATCATTTTAGATTAACACCTATGTTATAAAATCCCTTAGAACGGGAATATGAGGAAAATGAATCGTGGGGATGTGGTTGCCATGGTGACGATAGATATTCTTTTTATTCTGGAAGCGTCGAGTTATATGGACCATCATATACTACTGGTGATACAGTTGGATGTTATTTAAATTTTATAAATAAGACAGTATTTTATACTAAAAATGGTGTCAATTTAGGTAATTATCATTTTTAGCAATTTAAATTTTTATTATTTTTTTAAAGCAAATAGGCAAAGAATTTAATGATTATAACATATTTTAAGGAATTGCATGCTATCTACCTGATGGTTTGAAAATTTATCTATATCCTTGTGTTGGATTTAGATCGCAAGGCGGGTCGATAGAAGTGAACTTTGGTCATGAAAAATTTAAATATTCTGGTAAAATGGTTTAATCGATTAATTATTTAGAATTTACCTCGTCAATATTATATTTTTTAATTAATAGCAATGGCTAATGAAGATATTAACAACAAATAAAATAATACATTAGCATTGGAATACCAAGAAAAAGTTTATTTTATCATGGATGGATATGAAAATATGCTTGTTAGCTTAACAGATGAATTAACCAAATAATTAGAAAAAAAAATAATTTATTTGAATTAAGCTATCGAGGCAAATTATATTTTATTATGGGCAAATATGATAAAGCATTTGAAGATTTCTCTAGATTGCTGGAAATTGAATTAGATAATGAAATGGCACTAAGATATAGAGGAGAAATTAATTATATAATGAAAAAATATGAAAAATCAATTGCTGACTTAGAGAAATTATTAAAAATTAGGTCTGGTAATGAATGGGCAACAGATGTACATGAATTAGTTAAAAAGTTGTAAGTATATCGATTTTGTACGCCAAATTCGGACAGCAGATTTCAACAAATTTTAGCGAAATTTGCTGTCCAAATTGTTTTACTGTGTTCATATGAAATCGATAACATGATTTATAGATTTAATGCCTTACAAAGCTTAAATTTATTAAAAGTAAATAACAACACATACTGGGTGTTACTATAGAGAGTAAGTTCTATAGTAGAATTTATTCTAGTCAAATCAGAAATAATAATAAGGCCAAGCCAATTTGATTATTTGTTTAACATAACCCTCTCTATTTTTTAAAAATTTATATGAAAAAAGTTATATTAATCAATCAAATTGCAGTATTAGCTTTTTATATTTTTACATTTGTAGAGCCAATAAAATTATCGTCTTGTTTTATACCCTCCTCTTTTATGAGCTATTCTATGTTAAACAGAAAATCAAAATGGTGTGGCATAATTCTAATACAAACTACAGTACGTCATCTAAATCACACTGTATCACTATAGCTTGTAAGTTCTATAGCAAAATTTATTAAAGTAAAATAACAAATTAACACTATCAGTTATCTAAATCACATATTGTGTCACTATAGCGAGTAAGTTTATAAATAATTTATAATGATAATAATTCCAATACATACTAATAATATTTTACCTAAATTATAGCTCATAAGTTCTATAGCAGAATTTATTATAAAAACAAGCAATAATCTTAGTAAAAGAAAAATTTCTATTTATTATTATAGAGTTTCAATTAGAATCTATAATATCATTCATGAACTAGGAGTTAAATAAATTTTTAAGATCAATATTATTATGTTCTTCATGATTTTTAGTCTCTTAAGTTCTGACTATTATGTTCTATTTTAATTTTATAAAGTTCAAAATTAAGTAAGAAAGAATGTAGACATTAAGTGATTTACATATTTTTGATCATACTTTTAATTCATCAGATCAAATTGAATGCAATAATTACCATTAGATTCAACTTACTGAGATGATTCTAAATAATTTTATTAAACATATAATTTGATTCTAATTAGTTTTTTATTATTATATTAAAAATCTATTATTTCTATTATATTTATTATTTTTATTATATCTATTATTTTTATAATTCTATTATTTTTATTATTTTTATAATATCTACAATATCTTTTATATCTATTATATCTATTATATTTTTTAATTCTTATATATATTAATACTATCATATATAGTATTTATTAGTAATAAAATAATCTTTATTATAATAATTTATATATCTAAAATATCTATAAAAACATTATTTTTTTGATTTCAAAAAAATTAAGTGTTTTTATATATTTATAAGTATTTTTATACATTTTAGAAATTTTTTTATAAATTTTAATAAATAATAAATAAATATAATTCTTAATAGTTTTATATAATATTAATTGTTATCTCTAATTTAAAATATAAATTACTATTTATCTTATTAAATTTTATTATAAACTGTTTGAATCTGTTAAGTTATAATCTTTATACTATAGTTGAACAGTTTCTGTTATTAATATTAAAATTTTTTTTTTGATATTAAGGTGACCTCTTTGGTTCGAGCTTTTTATTAATACTTATAGTGGGTACATATTTTATATAGACATATCTATAATGAACTATTAGATGAGTGTACAACTGGCTACATATGTAACTTTTCTATATTACCTATTTAAGGAGTTTGCCTAAGGGTTTCCCACCAGTTGCTGTACCTAACACCCCTGTTTAGATGTTCTATTTAAAGCCTCTGATCTAACCCTAGTATTAATTTCACCAGGTCACAGACTCAGATCTATTCACATTCGACTATAAGATTATAATCCTTAGACTATTTTTATCCTTGAGGTAAACCTACCAGAGCGAATGTATTGCCTTTTACCACTAATCTGGTTTGATGTTATGGCTGAGACCAACACTTGCAGTCAGGGTTACCTCTTAAACTGCTATTACCTTTGTAAAGTTCATCCAAACCCTGGTATTAATCTTTCTGACTTCTTCTCCATCATCCTCTACTAGCTGCAACTCAGAACTAACTAACTCCCAGACTCCCAATCCAGATGACCTGGTATGGTATACTTATGTATTCTTTTTTTCTGGTGATTCTGGCAGCCTGGTTGGTCATATGCTCCTCTATACATCTTTGTCATTTAGTTTATCTGACAGTTCCTATGAAGATGTTTTATGGGCTTTCATCAGTCCAATGGCATCATCAAAAGTTTGTGCTACTTTTTTACTCAGAATTTCCAAGTGAGT